TTGCCCCATGTTTTCATCTCTGGCGCTGAGGGGTCTTTGTTGACTCACCCCAACATGGGTCAGTCATATTTCTTTCTTCGGGATACAGGATCGCTCTGCCTCTCTCCTCTCCTTCTCAGTCTCTCCTTCCAACTTTCTTGGCCCAAGGCTGACCACAGTCCCTCATGCTCAAGAACACACAGCTTATCTATTTTTCATGTTTAAGGCAGCCAAAGCCTTTTAAAAGATAATGAAAACCCCTCAACCACAATTTTGAGTTGCAAAGAATTTGCTAGATTTGCTGGCGCAGAGAATTATAGGAATGTTCTTCTGGTACTTTGTGGTCTGGAATTCCTGGAGGGTCAGGGATCTACAGGGAACACAGACATGTGAAAATAATTACGCTATAGTGTGTGTGTTGCGGGGGGTGGCTGTTTTGGGGGTGAGGAAGAGAAGCATCATATAATTTTTGCAGAAATGGTGACAGTCGAAGGATGGTGAGGAGTTTAACAGCAACCCAGACTGAGAGTGGGGGCTCAAGGGATCCAGGCAGGGGTAACACCATTTGCAAAGGAAGGGAAGCATGAAAGAGCACATCATTTTGGAAGTGGACAGATTAGCCCTTACCCACAGATGGGCAAGTTAGCCGGTTTGGCTGGCTGGGCAGGTGCCCCTCCCCCAAGCCCCCATCCCGTGTTCCGTGTATACCCTTCCTGAGTCTGCTCTCTTCTTAACTCTCAGGAAATCAATCTTACACTGTCAAGACTAGGGAGATAAGCATGCTTTGCTGTGTAGCATGTATAGGAGAAAACCTTAGTTATGGCGGAGGCATAGAAGGTGTACTTGAGGACAGCCACAAGTGGAGGAGAGAAGGGACAGCTGGGCATGACATTGGAAGATCCTTACATCCAGGGCCTGGGGCAGGAAGAGGACCTTGCTTAGCCCCAGGTTCTTTTTGCATCTTACGGCGCAGCTCCAAGGAGGAGGCCACGTGCCAGGTGTGACTATGGGGATGTGAAGGGAGCATGGGGCTTGCTGTTGCTCATCCAGCATCGGCAGTGACTTCTGGGAACTTAATTGGCTGGCACCTTGGTCTTGGACTTCCTAGCCTCCGGAACTGTGAGAAATAAATATTTGTTGTTTAAGCCACCAGGTTTATGGCTGACTGAGACAATAAGGAATGTGGAAAGAGTGGCAGGTTTTGGGGGGACACCATAAAAGCTTGTTTCAAATCTACTGTGCTTCAGATGTAGAGAGGACCAGAAGGGAGTTAGATGTAATGGTCTGAAGCTCAGCTGAGACTCAGTGTAGATAAAAGGTCAAGAAGGAATAACCGAGGGCACTCCCAAGAGACTCCCTTTGGGGGACATTCTTTATTCAAGTCCACAAATACTTTGCCAGGCCCCAGTTAGGCCCTGAAAGACAGGCAAATAAGAATCCCACAGAGCCTTCTACTTCAAGGAGTCTACCTAGTTTTAAGTACAGCCATGGACTCAGGTTCGGCATCTATGAAAAGTGTTTCTTAGAATTCTTGCTGAAATAAGGTGTCAAATTCATGTCTACAAGTTTAGGTCTGTTTCCTGGGCTTTCTGTGATTTGGACATAGAGGTACGTCCCTCTTTTTTTTTTTTCTTTCTTTTTTTCTTCAGATTACTTATGAATTTCAACCAAATTCTAGGATATGATAAACATGACATTTGATTTACTTGTTATTTTCCGTCCTGCTTTATGCTTAAACATAATAGGATTGACTTATAGCTGTCCAAAAAAATGGGGAGTGTATTTTTATGGAACTCTTCAATCTTAGGAATTAAAGTGGAGAGAAAATGGACGAAGGTTAACACGGTTTACTTATTTTTTTAAAGTGCAACTCCTTTTTGAAATACAGTTTTCTGTATGTTCATTAACTATTTTTAGGAAAACACACACACAGATATAAACACAACTAGAGTCTCTCAATTGACTGCCACAGTTTATGGAAGAAATAGTAAATGTTTAAGAAAATGCTTAAAATATTTAAGAAAACATTAAAAAAATTTAAGCAAATATTTAAATAAAATTTAAGAAACATTCTAAAATATGAATTTTCAGGAGAACTGTATGTGGACTCCAATATTTCCATTGGAAATTAAACTTCACAATAAGGGAAAATTTCACAGTGTGAACTGAATACACACACTTAAAGTGCTAATATACACTTTATATCATAAAAAATTGAGAAACCTTAATTTAAAGCAAATAAAGATGTTTAGTTTCACCAGGAATTTACCTATTTTGCCAATGCTTATGGAATTAATCTCTTAGAAAATTCCTTTCTAAAGTATGAGATTTCTTATTGGGAAAAAAATTCAGAATCAAGTGGATTGGCATAGAAAATTGGTCTTGCATCTCTTTATTTAAACATTTTAAGCTCAATTTTTCTTTAGTTACATTTTAGCTACTCGAATACAGGTAACACGTTTTGTTCTTTCCACAGAAACTGGTGTGTTTACTTTTATGGACTCAGAGGGGCTTTTCAAATTAACTTCAAATTTTTACAGCCCTTTTTTTCATATCCCGTGTGTGAATTTACTGTGGAGGCTTATGAATGATGGAACTGCCTTCAGTAGCCTACTAGCGAATTGCTTTGCTTAGGTGAGTGTAGAAAACCTTTGGCAGTGTGGCTCAGGCCTGAGCTTTAGCACGTAGAGCAAGCCAGGATCCGAAGGCACTTAAACATGACACACACTTTTAAAAATCCACTGAAAATTTGAGAGCATTATCAATGAAGTAGATATGACTGCAGTTTGTCTCCCTTGAACAAATTAGTTCTCTTTTAAAGTATCGACTGGGTCAGTGCTCAAGGTAGAACTAGGTAACATTACAATCCTAACACCTTTTGGGCAATGGTTCTTCTAATTAATATAATTAATATTTTAGCAAAACATCATGGGTCGTAATTGAAAGAAATCATCTGGGTCTGAAGAATGCCTACTGAGGGCAGCCCTGTTAAGATGAACTCAGAGGTGTGTAGATTAATTTCCTGGACTTGCAAAGCAGGAAAGGGAAGGTTTTCCTTCCTTATAAGCCTGGAGGGTTTGGTGTTTGGCCCTGTTGAGACCCAAGGGCTATCTGGGCTGATTAACATATATATAATTAAAGTGCACCAGCTAGAAAGGCAGAATCAGTTTTATTTGGCTCTGTACTACTATGAATAATTTCTTTCTCTCTACATTATTTACCTTCTGTGTACGCGTGCTTGTGGGAGGTGGTCTGGTTTCCCTGGACATCCTCCTCCTACCTTGTTTAGGATTATTGCTTCCTATCCTGGCAGACGGCAAAGAGTAGACAAGCTTTGCCTAGCATTCAAACTAGATTTTTCTTTCCGTTCATATCACCATTTTTAAGCCACATTTTTCATCACAGGGTAAGAAACACTGTAAATAATTGAGGTGATCCATCAAGAGACCCATTCTTGATAATGAAAAATTGCATAACTCAGTAGAAGTCAATTAAAAACCACAAACTTCAGACCTCTTTGCTCAGTGAAGATTTATTTTTAAAGGAGGCATTTAATATGATAGATTATGGGGGTCAAAATTTTTTAAAGTTCTAAAAATTCAGTTAGAACTTGACAATCAACATAAGATTTATACAGTATCATAGTGTAATAGTTCTTTGAAACTAAAAGGTTTTTTTTTTTATTCCTTTAACATAAAACGTCTGAGATGTACAGGATTTTATAACCAAAATTAGAAATGACATCCTACTGTGGGATACCTTTTTTTTTTCCTTTGAAGTTTTTAAATGCTTCATACTCTCTGCTTGTCCCTATACAATGAAAAGTAGGTAAACTAAGAGAGAAGGCAGGACATCTCATCTGTTAAACCAAAGGTCTGAATAATTAGGACTAGATAAATGACTCGAAATGTTTTTGTTGTCTGGTTGCTTGGTTAGATCACAGCCAATATGATAGAATGTAGTATCTTATACAACTTTATATAATTAAAAAAAAAAATAGTGGCAGTGTCTTTAAAGATACCCAAACTATGCAAGTGCCCAAGGGGAAAATGCCAAGTCTCTAAAAGGCAACATCCATAACACTTTTCTTCCCTTTCGGTGGTTTTTCATGCCCCAAATCTAAAATTAACTAAGGAGCAACATCTATCTGCAGAAACAAAAATATTTAACCTTTTGTTTTAAGGTCCGTCACCTCCCACTCTATATTTAAAGGGCACCTAACAGCTTAGGTAGGATTTGGCAGTCAGGCCTGGTGGATGCCTAAGTCCAATCAACAGTACACATGTGACTTGCTTCCTACTGAAATTAAACTGCCAAGGAAAAAGAAGGAATTGTCCCCTTTATTTAATAACAAAGAACACTATCGTTCGAATTCTTCAGATTTGGAATTCCGGCAGTGTTTTTCTGTTTTCCTCTTGATGTGTGATGAGAATGAATAATATCAAAAATAAAAATAAGCCTCATCTAAACAAGCAGTCCTTTGACTTTATAAGGCTCAACATCAAATATATCAAATTCTAAAAATACCAAAGACCAGTGAAATGTCAAAGCTGGGAGGATAACATGCTGGGGATAGGACAGATTCTTTAGCTTTTTGATTTATTGGAACCTACTAGTATTAACTTTGTTATGTTCATAGTTGCCACTTAAGTGGACTACTAGGGACCACGAGATTTCATATTCATATAAATATTTGACTCTGACCTCATAAAAAGTCCCTTGGGTCTATAATACTTTTATTCTTGTATAATCGGAAACAAATCCTTTCCTTTTAAAAATCAAACAGACCACGTTACACACACAGTTGACTAACTATTTACAAAGCACCCAATTAAATCCTACTTAATTCTCTCTCACTCTAAAAATTCCATCTAACTGGTGTGCAAAGTACTGATCACATTAAATGCATAATGTTCACAGGCCCTAATGGTCCTATCCAACCTAGAAAATATTGACTTCGTTAAAGAGAAAAGAAAATCTTAAAAAATAAGTAAAGGGTTTTGAAGAAACGAGACCAGAAATCACAGTACAAGACAGATAAATCTACTTTAATATTCACATGTAAAAGTTACACATCACAAGAGATTGGACAGTAGTTTAGCAGTAACTAACATAGCTATAGTGAAAATCATTTTTATAAAAAAATAATCTAGATGCGGTCATCAGAATTTTTGGTCTACTTAAGTTAATGTTTGAAGATCGACTTTTATCCCTGCTTGAAGGATTTGCCATTATGCCTTGTTTTTTTCTCCCACTGTTGCCTATTAATATTCTTTGGAGGAAGGAAAGCAGAAAGTGTTCATTTCCAAGAGTTTGTCCTTTGGTAGCAAGCAGAGAACATTTTTCATTTCTATGATTTAAATAATCTGTACAGACATGAAACGTAGCGACATTAAACTTTAGTGTAAAATGAAGAATGATAAGCATTTTTTTCACTTTCATAAAACAGCAGATTTCATAAACTCCTTAAGGATCCAAGCATTTCCCCATCCCATATGCAAAACCATTCAGAATCCATTTTGACCTCAGTTAAAAAACAAAAAAGCAAACACTTACTCTTTATATATTACACTATCAAACCCTGTACTTAAAAACTGATAAAGTATATTTCTAACATGTATGCTTCAAATACAAAGATTTCAATCTAGGTTAAAGAAAACACATTTGAATGGACTCAGAACAAGTTTATTTTGTGATTAAACATCTCATGCAGTCATGCAGGACTACTAGCTATAACTATTACTTCCAAGTCTACACGACACTGCATAAAACAAAAACAAATTAAAAGCTAGGCCTAACAGAAAAGACATTCAAGATATCAAGAGCTCTGCAATGGAGCTGAAAAATAATTTTCCAAAAGAAATATTCCCATAGATTAAAAAAAACACACACATAATATTTACAAAAAAATATTTAATTAAAAATATCTTATAATTACAGTAGTCTATTAAAGCATATACTTTCTCACACTTATAGAACATCTCTATATATACATGGTATGAAATGTCACTCAGTTATCTATACAATATGTAACATTCTTGCAGGGAAAAGAAAGTTCCCTGCCCCGTTATAATCATCTATTTTAAACAATAGATGTCAAAAAAAAAATATCTACAATGCTCTTTTATATTAGTAAAGCTTCAAAACAAAAATTGAGCTCCTTGGTCACAAAGTAGGCTTCTAAAGTTGATTTACTCTTGATCTTCTATTTATCAGTCCTGTCACACTTAAGCTTAAAAGTTTAACTGCACCTCCAAAAACACAGAAATGTACATTTCACAGCGGTTATAAATGAAGAGACAAAAGAGAATACATATGCAGAATGTTTATGAACGTGCAAAAAAAAAAAAAAAGGATGAAAGTTGTATTTTTCTTTTCCCTCTCTCTCTCTCTCTCTCTCTCTTGGAATGACGAATGAATCGTTTCTAGGATTTGCTGATATTTTTTTTTTCCCTCCTTTCCTCGGGTGGCTTTTTCTCTAACTTCTGCTCTTTCCCCCTCCCTTTCTAGTGCTCCTGGCTCGGGCTCAGGCGGCCGCACACCTGTGGAAGAGGAATGAATAGAGGGGGTGTGTGAACCTTCCCGCTGCAGACTAACTGGCGCCACCGACCAAACTCAAGACATGCTTGATCAACAACCCAAAACAAACCACCAGGTCAGACAACACCCGCAGCCCGCAGCCGGCCAGGAGAGCGGCAGGCAGCTGCTGGCCCCCGGGAAGCCCGGATTGGGGATCCACTCCCAGGCCCTGCCCGCATCCCACTTTGTGAGTGTCAGACAGCGTGGGGGGGAGGTGGGAGGGTGGGGGGGGGTGCGCATCGGGCAGTTTCCACGCCCGCGAGGGTGCCCTCCCTCGGCGGGGAGGAAGGCAGTTAGAGCCCGCTGGTCGTGGGAGAGGCACGGGGGTGGCGTGGCGGGGACGACGGGACAGGAGCTGCTAACCCGTCTCCATTTAGAGTGAACCCCCAATTACCAAAGCGAAGTACGGTGGCACGGACGGGGGTTGTCCCCTTCATTGGGATTTGCCCTCAGAAATGCTTAGGAGCACAGAACACTGCGGTGCCTGGCACCGGAAGCCCCTGGGGACGGGCGTCACTGGAGCGGGGAAACGCGCGCTCACCTGGACAGCGCGGCTCAGCGGCACAGAATGCTGTCGCCCTGCTTGTTCACCGCGCCGGCCTGGAACAGCAACGGAACACCAAGGCAAAGGTTAGCAGGCACAAACGTCGCACTCGGCACGGCCCTGGATTCGTTCTCGGAAACCAGGCAGGCACGCCGGCACCCCCACCCCCGCCTGCAGCCCTGGGGGGACTCCCCCAACCCCACCCCAGGCGCAGGCTGGACTTGACAGCCCAGGATGCGCAGAGCCCCAGTCCCCCCGGCGCGTTCACCCGGACCTGCGCTCGCCGCGCGGAGCCCGCCGCTGATGGCCCCGGGCGCCCGGAGGAGGGAGGGGGGTGCTGTCATTTCCCCGCCGCCCCTGCCCGTTGGAAGGGGAGCGCCCGCGTCCGGCCCCCCCGCCACCGCCCTCCCGCCCCCCGCCGCGTCCGCTCCGGGCCGGCGTCTGGCCTCTCTCACCGGGTCGGTGTTGAGCGCCGTGAGCGGGGTCCGCGGCGGCGCTGCCGGACAGGTCCCGGCCGGGTGGTGCGGTGCCGCCGGCGGTGGCGGCTGCCTCAGCAGAGCCGGGTGCGTCTCCAGCGCCAGCTGCAGGTCCAGGATGTAGTCGATAACGTGCTGCAGGATCTCCACTTTGCTGACTTTCTTGTTGGGCGGGATGGTGGGCACCAGCCTCCGCAGGCGGCTGTAGCAGTCGTTCATATCGCACTGCAGGCACAGCGCCGGCTCGTCGGCCGCCGCCTCCGCCGCCTTGCAGCGCGCTGCCG